AAAACAGAATTAATACCAAAAGTAAAACTAACAGAAATACAACCCTTCAAATCTATTAAATTAAGTCATTTCTTTGAATAGCTAAAAGAAGATCCTAATTCTGTTAATATCAACGGCTGAAATAAAAATGAAAGAATTCAGACCAGTTTAATTTTTGGAATTAGTCTCTAAAGCGGTATAGGTAGCTGCTTAAAGTAAAACACGATTAAAAGGAAGACAATTCATTCATTTTAATTGCCCACAGAAAAAAAATATTGTTCCATTTTCCCGGTGGATTTCTCTAAATAATGGAAAAAGCCGACTGATTCTATCTGAATTAAAATATTTCGGCATTTAAACAAAAGATGTGGACTAATTAAGTACGTCTTTCAATTCAATTGCATTAAAGCATCAATCCAATTTGCATGTTTATTTTCGTTTTCATTTTTCGTCCTCGAATGCTTGGTAAATATTTATTAATTTGAAATTAATGAAAATCGATATTAAAACAAAAACCTTAATGCTTCACTTAAATATTTATGAAGCCGAGAAAATAATGCTCGCAATGAAACGTCATTGTCATTTTTTTAATTGCAACAAACTTGGAAGAATCTTTTAATCTAAGTCAATGCTAATGCTTGTTTTGATACATTTGTTATCCACTATTTTTAAAACATTCTCAATTAATTTACTTACAAATTAACAAGGTTGTGACATTTAGTTAGAAATACAATAAACATAATTTGAAATACAATAAAAAAATGAATCATCATTGATTTATGTGATACAAAGAACGTACTTGGAGCCTCAAGAGATTACGATAAAATTGAGAACAACACAGTAAGAGCATTGAAAAAGATGTTGCTAATCATAAGTCACACTTTGTAAATATTTATTAATTTGGAATTAATGAAAAGGGGTGTCAAAGCAAAAACCTTAGTGCTTCAGTTAAATATTTATGAAGCTAAGAAAATTATACTCACAATGAAATATCATTGTCATTTTTTTTAATTACAAACTTGGAAGAATCTTTTAATCTATATCAATGCTAATGCTTGTTTTGATAAATTCGTTATCCTCTACTTTTAAAACTTTCTTGATTAATTTAATTACAAATTAACAAGGTTGTGATATTTAGTTAGAAATACAATAAATACAATTTGAAATACAATAAAAAATGAATTGTCATTGATTTATGTGACATAAAGAAAGTACTTTGAGCCTCAAGAGACTACGATTAAATTGAGAACCACACAGTAACTAAGAAACGCGTTGAAAAAGATGTTGCTAAGCATAACGCTCACTTAGTAAATATTTATTAATTTAAAATTAATGAAAAAGGGTATTAAAACAAAAACCTTAATCTTTCACTTAAATATTTATGCAGAAAAGAAGATAATACTCGCGATGAAACGTCATTGTCATTTTTTAATGACAACAAACCTGGAAGAATATTTTTAATCTAGTAGGTCAATGCTAATGCTTGTTTCAATACATTTGTTATTCTCTATTTCTAAAACATTTTTAATTAATTTACTTACAAATTAACGAGGTTTAGACAATTAGGTTTAAATACAATAAATAGAAATTGAAATATAGTAAAGAAATGATTTGTCATTGATTTATGTGATAAGAAGAATGCGTTTTAAGCTTTGAGCCTCTAAAAACTACGATTACGATTAAATAACTAAGTAACTACGTAACAACTAAGAAACTGGTTTAAAAACAATTACTGTTGCAGATTATAACGTGAGAAAAAGATTCATTCTACTTAAAGATTCAGCCTCCAGTATTAAACTACATGTTCCGAAAATCAAAACTCGTGTTAAAAATTAATTTACTATCCTATCTCTTTAATTAATTTTTAAAACGTTTTTAATTAATTTACTCATAAGATTAACAAGATTGTAACAACTTTTTTCAGATACAATAAAGACAATGTTAAATTTAAAAATTCGCATGTCATAGATGTCAATATTTAAAATTAATGTGTGGAAAGCAGAATCCACTTTGAAATTTGAGTCCCTTGAAGGCATGATTAAATGCAAAACTACATAACGACTAAGTTAAATAGCGTGTATAGCATATTGAAAATATTCATTATTTTTAAAGTTCTTTGTAAATATTTATCTAGGTGAACTAAAAATAAAAGCTCGAATTTATATGTGAAAACTAGTTTTTCCCAAGAAAAGAAAGAAGATAAGAAAAAGGAATGAATTGTTATTTTCATAACTAAATTTGTTAAGTAATTGTGAATTGTTAAGCAAAAATTTGTTAAAAGGTGTGAATTCGACCTAAAGACAGTAGAGCGCCTATTAAAAATTTCTTCTTTTTTATTCTTCTTTTTTTAGCTTAATATTTTATTTCTAGATTTTAGAATGTCAAGGGATATTTGCAGGTTTAAATTTACCTGATTATACATAACTAATGCAGGGTTATTCATAATTCCCTCCGGGGTTTCGAAGCGTTATAGTAAAAAAACGAAGACGAATATGGCAAAAAAGAACATATGAAATTATTTCGAAAGTATTCAAGTTTTAATTTAAGCAGTTGCCGGTAGATGGCAGTAACATGTACCACTGATGCCAGTTGTAGTAAAGTAAAATGGCGTTGACAGGTGGAGGGAATTATGAATAACCCTGTATATTTTACTGTTTTTAATTTCATAGAGAAAAATATTGACTGTGTTATGATATATAATTAGTATATTGTGACGTTATATTTACGTAATATCAGTAGATATGACTCTTGAAATGTTACAGTCGACGCGCAGTAAAGCATAGAAAACATTACTGAAAAACGTTACGTAGAGGCGTCATAGCAACATATTTTCTTAAGTTTAATGATTGGATATCGCTTTCATTTTTGAGATGCAACATAACAATGTCATAATTTAAGATTCTCACCCTAAAAAAATCTCAAGAAATGACTTTCTTTTGTCTATATTTCTAGCATCCGTACTTCTAGCATGTCTGTATTTCCGATCTCCAATCATTCGGTGTTTCTACAGTTTCGTTAAAATGTCTCTCTCTTTCCTGAGTAAATTCTTGTGTATCCCGTTTCGTGTCTGTCTTTGTGTTAAGTAAGAAATATATAATAAAGGAATTGAAATCTTTGTGAATTACAGAATGTTTCGCTCAAGAGAATTGATACATGATAGCTCGGTTTACTCGTAATAAAAAGAAAAGAACAGTTGGTAACGTAAACAAATGCAACATTCTAACAACCTAAGGCTCCTATACTATCAGAGCTGACCAATCAAGCAATATTGGAGCAAAAAAGTTCGCAAGTTAACGTTATGTTAGTATTGCTTATGTTAGCTCTTTGGAGCAAAAATAGATGATGAGTCGGCCTGTCTAATTCAGGGGCTCTATAACAACCAATGCTAAACGAGTAACTAATTTTGTAACACTACTTAAATTATTACTTAAGACAACCTAACAAAATTAATAATAACTAAAGTTTTTCCAATAGATAGAGAAATACCCGAGTTTATGGGGCCACATAAAAGAAATATATTTTATAAAGAGTATATAAATATATATTCTACTGTAATATAGTAAATATGTATGTACTGTGTAAATATATATTCTACTTATTAATAGATAGAATCTATTAGCAATTACATTTTATTTAACTATTTTATAATAATAATTCCATAAAATGTAATTATCTTTCATCCTTAATTATTTGAATATAATGTCAATGTAGAAAAGTACAAAAAATAGACTATACTTAATGACTCACAATCAAATTTTCGCCAATTTAGATATTAGCTTTATAACTTAAATGCATAAAAAAAGTTTATTTTAAGTGTTTTAATCTAACAAAAGGAAAGAAAATTTACTGAATACTTTTTCTCACAAACAATATTCATTGCTCAACAAATTATGTTCAAACATTTTAAAAAAATAATAATTTTTCAAGTTAAAGCAAAAAAACTATTTCACTTTTACGTTTCTTTCTAACAATTATGTTTAAAACAATTAATACTTCAGCGACAGTTTTTTTTAATATAAAATAATGTTTGATATTTGAAATAAAACGTTTTTTCTAAACTGAAAAACTTAGTTATTTGAAATAAACGTAAAAATGGGGAAAAAAACTATATTTCAGAATTAAATATTTATCTTGGAATTATTATTGTATTTAGATGCATTTACCTATTTTCTGAACATAAGCTAATCTTTTTAAAAAAATAACATTTTTAACTTCGTTTTAAACATATAGTACTGTTTGAATAAACATTGTGACCCAAAGATTAGTAAATTAAAAAAAATCTATATCTTCGATAACTGTTCCTAAAATTGAGAACGGCGAATGAAAAGAAATCTTTTTTTCGATAAAACGCAGTAATTTTAGGAAACATGTTGCCTCAATCAAATCTCACAAAATTATTATGCACAAAACAAACAATAAGAAAGCAAATACGATAACTTAAATTACTTAAATAATTCGAAAGTAAACAAAGATTATAATATTTTCAATGTAGCAAGAACGTAAATGTACACACTTGTTTTTATTATCAGGCCGCTTATTTTTTGTAAAACTTATTTCTTATACTTATTTCTTTATTTATTGTAAAAGAAATGTTTAGCACGCATTTCTTAATCATAGGAATTCGAGTGTTGCAGCTTTGCAGGCAAATGATGTGTAATGATTTGCAGATTCCCATCATCACCGCTTCTGAAATTTCATTCTCTGGAATAACTGAGATTGATAAAGATGTTGATGGTAGAGTTTACTTAAGCTCTGATGAAGACATTTAAACATTGATTTGATTGTTGCAGCTTTGCAAGTAAATGTAGTTCAATGGTCAGGTGATTCCCACATAATATCACTATTTCTGCAATTCCTCTTCCTCCCCTGGTTGACGTTAACAAGGATTTTGATTGTAGAATTTATAATTAGGATTTCAGATGAAAAACTTTTAAGCCATGATTTGATTGTTGCAACTTGTCAAAGGGTAAACTTTTAAACATTAATTTGATTGCTTAAACTTTGTAAACAAATTTGATGCAATGGTCCAGAGATTCCCATCTAATATCACTGTTTCCGCAATTCCTCTTCCTCGAGTGGTTGAAGTTGCTAAGGATGTTGGTGGTAGAGTTTACTTACTAGGCTCAGAAGGAAAATTTTTAAACATTCTGGCCAAAGTTCTAAGGTTCAAATACAACGTTAATGTACCTCCTGATAGAGAGTGGGGACGACAGACCAAAGATGGTAACTGGACTGGTATGATAGGACAAGTGTTTAGAGGCGAATCAGACTTTACTTTGTGGACTTCCATCACGGAAGATCGAACAAAAGCCGTCGATTTCAGCGAGCCGTATGGTACGTATGAATTAACGTATGTTACTACTTTACCCGGATATTTACCCAAAGACTATGCTTTCATTTATCCTTTCGATGTTATTACTTGGTGCAGCATAGTACTTCTTATTTTTGTAGTCCCACTTTTGTTTTGGCTACTATCTTCTTCTGGTCCATCCTACTTCGAACGTCTGTTGTATCTCTTTGGAACACTAATGCACCAATCTTTAAATGATGAACATTTTTATCAAAGAACTCTTCTGGGATTTTGGTGGATCGCATCATTAGTTCTGTCAGTGAGCTACTCCGGTGCCCTTTCATCATTTTTAAGTATGCCTTTAAGAGAAACTCCAATTAGAGACTTCCATGAATTAGCTGTAGCGGTCACCAGAGGGCAGTACAGATGCCTTGATGTGAAAGGAACTGTCTCAATTCCAGGTTTGCTTGCAACCGGACGAGAGGACCTTGCGCTATTGGCTAATACTATCAAGAAGAATAATTGGTACACAACTCTTAAGGAATCGCAAACAGAAACCCATTTTGACGGGAAAACAGCACATTTGGGTAGCCGAATGTTTCTATATTTCAGATTTGGAAAAGCTCCATTCACGAGAATGTACATTTCTGAAGATACAGCTTTTTCTTCTGGAATGGCATTGGGTGTGAGAAAAGATTTTTGCTGCAAAGAGGAACTGAATTCTGTCATTATGAAAATTAAATATGCTGGTATTTATAACAAAATTCTGGAAGATGAAATGTACAACTCTTGGCTAAAGTACATTGGTTCATTAAAATTCAAGGAAATTAATCGTCCATTATCTGTTCAAGATTTATCAGGTGCGATAGTTGTTTTTGCTATTGGCAACGGTTTATCCATAGTTATTTTCATCACAGAATATTGTTGGAAAAAGCAGACGTGAATACCCATATATATGATATAAATATGTGCCTATGCATAGCATTAGCTTAAATGTTAAGTGAGCGTTAAACCATAATATCTTGACAATTTGCTTATACGTTATAAAGAAAAGAAAAGCAATTAGCAACCTTGAAAGTTAATCAATTTTTATTCTTGAATACGCAACATATTGCAACCAATGTTTCAGTCAAATTTTGAACCAACTCTTTTATTTAGCATTTTAATATATCTTAAAGGCTTTAATTAATAATTCAAATTGCAATCCAAAATAAATCATTATTATAAAAAAATTCTACTTTAAGTGAGAAAAAGTTTAACATTTTTGTAAAACCTTTTGAAAAAAATTTTATTACATTTTGTAAAATTTCGTAAAAATTAGTGTTTTGTTTTCGTTCATTACTATTATGCAATCTGAATAGCACATCAAGTATTGATAATAGCCAAAATATGCCGGTATTTAATCATCTACATAAATATATATCTATAAATTAATAGAACTACATCAATTTTTAAAACTTTATTTTACTACTACTCCTTAAATATGTATGGGATTCAGAAGAATTAGGCTCATAATTCTATCATTTTTTAATTAAAATGCGTCTACGTATCGCATTTATGCACTCTAAACTTCGATGCATCTGAAAAGCAAAGTTGATACATAATTTAAAATAAACTCAATCTTATTGCTTAGTGTAATAAATTCTATCTCATTATTTCAATTTTTTAGCATTTTAATCTGACAGTCTTATTTCGTTTCATATTTTAGAAAATATTTTCAACTGCATTAATGATTAGAATGTCTTATTTAAGTTATAATAAACTCAGTCTCATTACTTTATTTACTTTTAATGCATTTTAAATTTTATTTTCTCCTTTTTTTTTTTTAAATATTTTGAAATGTATCATTGAATACATTAATTAGAATATACTAAAGTTTCGAAAAATTAATTTCACTCATTCATTGTTTTTTTTTTCTCATTTTATTCTAACATTCTACTTTTATGCAGCAATACGAAAATAAAATTCTGACTTACAATTACGTTTAAAAAATAATTAAAATCCTTATTATTTATAAATGTATTTTAACGTTATTTCTATACATACAAAATATTAAATTTTGGGTATGAAATTTTTTACAGATTTTGTAAAGCTTCGTCTTCATTTTCTCACGATAAAAATTCAAGTTTGTTAAAAAATAAAGTAGCTTGGCGAAAAACAAAAAGGGACTGTAATAGACTTCGAGAAATAGAGATGCGGTTGAAGAAAAAAAACCTGTCGACTTGTCTATCGTTTTCTTTTCTACCTTTCGTTCTATCGAAAGAGAAATGTAGGTCCTTCTCCCCTGCGTCCTTAATGACCAATGTTCTAATTCATCAAACTGTCATCTTATTGCTTGGCTGTTTTAGCTTAAGTCGAGTCAATGAAATTACTACTATTTGTGTAATTTTTCATAATTACTACTATTCATATTACTACTATTTGTGTAATTTTTCATTTTTAACGAATTATTCTCATTTTGAACCTTATTCCTCTTGTGCTATTTATAGAACGATTTTTATGCGTCATTATTTCAATGTTTACTGACAAATTTTAATATAGTATGGTTGAAGATGGATCCTCGAGACAATTAGAGGCTGCTTAAATAATTATGAGCCGAGTAATTATTCCACATTTGTATTCTAACTGTTGCAAACATATCGTAACGAAACTTATTTTATAAGACAGTTATTCTCTGATATACATGATATTATGTCTTTCATTATCTATTGTGCAAGAAAGGGGAACACCCCGAATAATCTTTAATCTAATGATCGGATTTTCACGTGCTAGGACGCAATCTTTATGGTTCCAGAGGGTGATCTCAACTATGCAAATTAGTGAAAACGATATTAGACAGACATGAAAATTTCGGCACAGACACACCTTTTCTTTCGATGGATTATGATTCCTGACCCCCAAAATGTGAGGGATATCCGCACTCTGTGAAGGATCAGAAGAGCAGGTCAAAGTTCAGACCCCTTAATGTTAATTTTATATTTTGGGTATTTCGCGCTATCTCGAGAACTTTTTAAAGAGAACTGAAAAATTTTTGCGTACAATTATAAAAATTTTTTATCCAAAGATAGTTCTCCCCCCCCCACCCCGAAAAAATTTAATTTTAATAATTATTTATTATCATTTTATATTATTTTATTTAATATTAGTTGGAAAAAATTTGAGTTGCAAGGTATACAGATTTTCACATCATCTTCAAGAATATAATTTCATATGTCAAAATACAAAAATAGTTTCAGAGAAATCAAATTTTAAAAAAAATCAGTTATTTAAATTTCGATTTCTCAAGATTGATTTACTTAAATTTAAATTTTTGCCTAATAAAACAGTATTCTTTAAAATGGTGCAAAAATTTGTGACCCTTACAGTTCAAAATGTTTTCGACTATTATTAAACAAAATTATAAAAAATAATAAATATTTACTAAAAGTTATATTTAGCATCTCTGGATAAACAAATTGTATAGCTGTTTGCAAAAATTTTTCAATTCGCTTAATTCTCAAAATATGGTGAAATACGCTAAAAGTAAAATAAACATTAGAGGTCTCAACTTTGGATCGCCCTCCTGACTAAACTATTACAACTATATTTGATATTTCTGTTGTCAGAAATAAGAAAGCTTTCGATAAGAAGGTGTTATTCAAAGGAGCATTTTCGTATCTGATTTATAACTTAAAATATAATCTACTTTTTATAATCAGCATATTTAAAGTCACCTCGAAACTAGATTCAGTCCTTGTACGAGAAAATCCGATCATTAGATCTGAAGTTATTCAGTTTGATCCATTTTTGTATTTTTTTTTTTATTTATTATTTTCTTCTTGCACACTGTATTTTTTTGCACACAGTACATTTTACTAAAAGTAAATCAATAAACAATTTAAATATACTTAATTTCTCGAATCATTTCTGTAAAACTCCAATTTTTATTTTTATTTACTGATAAATAATTTTTAAATATATTGATACCAGATATAGGAGAACACTTTCTTCAAAATAAATAGTTTCGTCAAATCACAAATTATTTTACCTGATATCACAACTTATTTTATAAAAATAGTTAGCGATCTGTGTACAGACGGATACAACTTTTAAAATAGTTTTCATAAAAATGTGAATTTAGAGATTTTGTGTTAATATCGTAAGAAATATGTTTAATACTGCACAAGCTGATTGCAGAACTAAATACTTTATAACTTAAACTTCTACTTTCTTAAAATATTAAAATTAATATTTTAAGAATGGTTGATTTGTAAAAGAAATTATTACTTTTCCTCCGTATATATATATATATA